CTTGCCTAGGTCCTTCAGATCAAGTGAGCTATAAAAACGTTAAGGAAAAATAAAATATGATAAACTACAGAGTGAATGAGAATTGTAAATTGCTCCGCAGAGTAATCTAGCCTAGAATGAGGAAGACCAACTGTGAAACTAAACACAAGGTTTATCATTTTGTTTTTGTAATCAATTCAAGCCTGTTCACATTAAATGCTTCAGTTAATTTTGCGATAGCCAGAAGACAAAGTTTGACTCTACCTCCTCCACTCCTTTACATAAATATAATTACACATGTTACCGGAAACAAGCTAAATTGGCTGTGATAGGACTGTCTGGTTATCTGATGGTGTTGGTGGGCAGAACAATATTAGTGAAGGTTTGCAAACTGCAGGCTCGGGGAAAAATCTTCCATGTCATTAAATTCTCTTCAATATCATGCTTCAGCGTTCATTGTTGTACAGTAAAAAAATGTTGATAATAAAACCCGAGGGACTTCGTGGATTGATTTACAGAAGGCAAACCTTCTGTGGAGGTGTTTTTGTGTTGAGCTTACCAAAGGCCACAGATTTTAAATTATAAAAGTCTTCATAGGTCAATCATTATAATTTATCTATTGTTTTGAAACAGGTATTGAAGTAACAGTTTTGATAATATTGGTTGATTAGTTGGTTAGGCGGGAGGAGGAGGGTTTTTTAAATTTACAGAAATATCTGCAGTGGTTCCTTAGTAATGGTTAGTACTCTATGTTTAGTCTTGACCTATCAGATTCAACTGTGAAGAAATTCCACTGGATTTGATGAAGGAATACCTTCTAGTCAGCCAATGTTTTGTTGTTTAGACACTTACTGACATTTAGGTGATGTTTTGTTGTTTAGACACTTACTGACATTTAGGTGATGTTTTGTTGTTTAGACACTTACTGACATTTAGGTGATGTTTTGTTGTTTAGACACTTACTGACATTTAGGTGATGTTTTGTTGTTAAGACACTTACTGACATTTAGGTGATGTTTTGTTGTTTAGACACTTACTGACATTTAGGTGATGTTTTGTTGTTTAGACACTTACTGACATTTAGGTGATGTTTTGTTGTTAAGACACTTACTGACATTTAGGTGATGTTTTGTTGTTAAGACACTTTGTGACATTTAGGTGATGTTTTGTTGTTAAGACACTTTCTGACATTTAGGTAATGTTTTGTTGTTTAGACACTTCCTGACATTTAGGTGATGTTTTGTTGTTTAGACACTTTGTGACATTTAGGTGATGTTTTGTTGTTTAGACACTTACTGACATTTAGGTGATGTTTTGTTGTTTAGACACTTTGTGACATTTAGGTGATGTTTTGTTGTTTAGACACTTTGTGACATTTAGGTAATGTTTTGTTGTTTAGACACTTTGTGACATTTAGGTGATGTTTTGTTGTTTAGACACTTACTGACATTTAGGTAATGTTTTGTTGTTTAGACACTTTGTGACATTTAGGTGATGTTTTGTTGTTTAGACACTTACATTTAGGTACATGAATTTAGTTTTGTTGTTTAGACACTTAACATTCTACGTTGTTTTGTATGACAGAAAATTACTGACATGAAAAAACCAGAAAAAAAAATTTTGAATAAAAACGGTTTTGATTTTAGTGGTCCTTCTTATTGTCCTTTCATAACAGACTGTAATGATGCACTCACATACCATGTTTTACTGAATTCCAATTTTTTGAAGTGATAGGTACATGGAAATAGGTATGATGTGTGATTTAGGTTGGAACTTCTAGGTATGATGGTTGTTTAGACACTTTGTGACATTTAGCTTTTGATATATGATGGAGACCCCATTTAGGTTCTCTGAAGACACAATGAAAAGAGTTACCTGAGAAAAAAAATCAATTACATTTCAAATGAAAAACGGTTTTGGCATTTCTAGTGTTCCTTCTTAATTCTTGGCATCCTTTCATAACAGATCTGTATATGATGCCTCATACCACAAACATAGTTTTACCCCAATCAATACATACCAACACTGTATATCAAAGCTCCCCTATAAGTATGATGGAGACTGTCTAGGTTCTCTGATAGGTATGATGGAGACCCCTAGGTTCTCTGATAGGTATGATGGAGACCCCTAGGTTCTCTGATAGGTATGATGGAGACCCCTAGGTTCTCTGATAGGTATGATGGAGACTGTCTAGGTTCTCTGATAGGTATGATGGAGACCCCTAGGTTCTCTGATAGGTATGATGGAGACTGTCTAGGTTCTCTGATAGGTATGATGGAGACCCCTAGGTTCTCTATAGGTATGATGGAGAACCCTGTCTAGGTTCTCTGATAGGTATGATTGAGACCCCTAGGTTCTCTGATAGGTGTGATGGAGACCCCTAGGTTCTCTGATAGGTATGATGGAGACCTCTAGGTTCTCTGATAGGTATGATGGAGACTGTCTAGGTTCTCTGATAGGTATGATGGAGACCCCTAGGTTCTCTGATAGGTATGATGGAGACCCCTAGGTTCTCTGATAGGTATGATGGAGACCCCTAGGTTCTCTGATAGGTATGATGGAGACTGTCTAGGTTCTCTGATAGGTATGATGGAGACCCCTAGGTTCTCTGATAGGTATGATGGAGACCCCTAGGTTCTCTGATAGGTATGATGGAGACTGTCTAGGTTCTCTGATAGGTATGATGGAGACTGTCTAGGTTCTCTGATAGGTATGATGGAGACCCCTAGGTTCTCTGATAGGTATGATGGAGACCCCTAGGTTCTCTGATAGGTATGATGGAGACCCCTAGGTTCTAGGTTCTCTGATAGGTATGATGGAGACCCCTCTCTGATAGGTATGATGGAGACTGTCTAGGTTCTCTGATAGGTATGATGGAGACTGTCTAGGTTCTCTGATAGGTATGATGGAGACCCCTAGGTTCTCTGATAGGTATGAGACTGGAGACTGTCTAGGTTCTCTGATAGGTATGATGGAGACTGTCTAGGTTCTCTAGGTTCTCTGATAGGTATGATGGAGACCCCTAGGTTCTCTGATAGGTATGATGGAGACTGTCTAGGTTCTCTGATAGGTATGATGGAGACCCCTAGGTTCTCTGATAGGTATGATGGAGACTGTCTAGGTTCTCTGATAGGTATGATGGAGACCCCTAGGTTCTCTGATAGGTATGATGGAGACCCCTAGGTTCTCTGATAGGTATGATGGAGACTGTGGAGACTAGGTTCTCTGATAGGTATGATGGAGACCCCTAGGTTCTCTGATAGGTATGATGGAGACCCCTAGGTTCTCTGATAGGTATGATGGAGACTGTCTAGGTTCTCTGATAGGTATGATGGAGACTGTCTAGGTTCTCTGATAGGTATGATGGAGACTGTCTAGGTTCTCTGATAGGTATGATGGAGACTGTCTAGGTTCTCTGATAGGTATGATGGAGACCCCTAGGTTCTCTGATAGGTATGATGGAGACTGTCTAGGTTCTCTGATAGGTATGATGGAGACCCCTAGGTTCTCTGATAGGTATGATGGAGACTGTCTAGGTTCTCTGATAGGTATGATGGAGACTGTCTAGGTTCTCTGATAGGTATGATGGAGACCCCTAGGTTCTCTGATAGGTATGATGGAGACTGTCTAGGTTCTCTGATAGGTATGATGGAGTCCCCTAGGTTCTCTGATAGGTATGATGGAGACTGTCTAGGTTCTCTGATAGGTATGATGGAGACTGCCTAGGTTCTCTGATAGGTATGATGGAGACCCCTAGGTTCTCTGATAGGTATGATGATGAGACTAGTCTAGGTTCTCTGATAGGTATGATGGAGACTGTCTAGGTTCTCTGATAGGTATGATGGAGACTGTCTAGGTTCTCTGATAGATGTATGATGGAGTGAGGGTATTAGTCTGTTCTCTGATAGGTATGGAGTGAGGTTCTCTGTGGTTTACAGTTCTCTAGTATGTCTGATGGTATTGTAGATGGGGAGTGAGGTTCTCTGTGGTTTACAGATGTAGGTATGAGTGAGGGTATTAGTCTGTGGTTTACAGTTGTAGATGTTTGGGGGAGTGAGGGTATTAGTCTGTGGTTTACAGTTGTAGATGTATGGGGGAGTGAGGGTATTAGTCTGTGGTTTACAGTTGTAGATGTATGGGGGAGTGAGGGTATTAGTCTGTGGTTTACAGTTGTAGATGTATGGGGGAGTGAGGGTATTAGTCTGTGGTTTAGTTGTAGATGTATGGGGGAGTGAAGGTATTAGTCTGTGGTTTACAGTTGTAGATGTATTGGGGAGTGAGGGTATTAGTCTGTGGTTTACAGTTGTAGATGTATGGGGGAGTGAGGGTATTAGTCTGTGGTTTACAGTTGTAGATGTATTCTCTGGGAGTGAGGGTATTAGTCTGTGGTTTACAGTTGTAGATGTATGGGGGAGTGAGGGTATTAGTCTGTGGTTTACAGTTGTAGATGTATGGGGGAGTGAGGGTATTAGTCTGTGGTTTAGTTGTAGATGTATGGGGGAGTGAGGGTATTAGTCTGTGGTTTACAGTTGTAGATGTATGGGGGAGTGAGGGTATTAGTCTGTGGTTTACAGTTGTAGATGTATGGGGGAGTGAGGGTATTAGTCTGTGGTTTACAGTTGTAGATGTATGGGGAGTGAGGATTAGTCTGTGGTTTACAGTTGTAGATGTATTGAGGGTATTAGTCTGTGGTTTACAGTTGTAGATGTATGGGGGAGTGAGGGTATTAGTCTGTGGTTTACAGTTGTAGATGTATGGGGGAGTGAGGGTATTAGTCTGTGGTTTAGTTGTAGATGTATGGGGGAGTGAGGGTATTAGTCTGTGGTTTACAGTTGTAGATGTATGGGGGAGTGAGGGTATTAGTCTGTGGTTTACAGTTGTAGATGTATGGGGGAGTGAGGGTATTAGTCTGTGGTTTACAGTTGTAGATGTATGGGGGAGTGGTTTACAGTTGTAGATGTATATTAGTCTGTGGTTTACAGTTGTAGATGTATGGGGGAGTGAGGGTATTAGTCTGTGGTTTAGTTGTAGATGTATGGGGGAGTGAGGGTATTAGTCTGTGGTTTACAGTTGTAGATGTATTGGGGAGTGAGGGTATTAGTCTGTGGTTTACAGTTGTAGATGTATGGGGGAGTGAGGGTATTAGTCTGTGGTTTACAGTTGTAGATGTATGGGGGAGTGAGGGTATTAGTCTGTGGTTTACAGTTGTAGATGTATGGGGGAGTGAGGGTATTAGTCTGTGGTTTACAGTTGTAGATGTATGGGGGAGTGAGGGTATTAGTCTGTGGTTTACAGTTGTAGATGTATGGGGGAGTGAGGGTATTAGTCTGTGGTTTACAGTTGTAGATGTATGGGGGAGTGAGGGTATTAGTCTGTGGTTTAGTTGTAGGTTTGAGGGTATTAGTCTGTGGTTTACAGTTGTAGTTGTTTGGGGGTGTGAGGGTATTAGTCTGTGTTTTACAGTTGTAGATGTTTGGGGGAGTGAGGGTATTAGTCTGTGGTTTACAGTTGTAGATGTATGGGGGAGGGAGTGAGGGTATTAGTCTGTGGTTTACAGTTGTAGATGTATGGGGGAGTGAGGGTATTAGTCTGTGGTTTACAGTTGTAGATGTATGGGGGAGTGAGGGTATTAGTCTGTAGTTAACAGTTTTAATGAGGCGATGTTCCATGTTTTGATCGATGAAATGGAATAGGGACCTGTCACGTCAGGACTGCTTTATAAAGGAAGATATAGGCACAACATACGTTTCTACTCCATTACGCTGTTTGATGGTACAAAAATCAATGAGCTACCACATCAGGAGACAAAACACCATCAAATTGCCCTCAAGAATCTCTCATTCCTACAAGTGCTTTATAAGGCAAAGTGTTGTGGATTTGAAATTCAGATCTCAATTTAGAGATATTGAAATCAATGATACCTCTCTTTAGAAATCTGGTATTAAGAGTTTGAAAAGCCACATTTAGAGATGGAGAATCCATGAAAATCTCTCTTGAGCATTTGAAGGAACACGTTATATGAGAGGAAACAAATTTAGACATCGAGAAACATTAGGTGGTTAGAGGACAAATTTCGGCTGCTCTCCTTGGGTATCTAATGTCATGTGATGGTTACTTCGTTGTTAGCTGTAACATTCACGTTAAAAAAACTTTTATAAAAAATCACATTCTTAAAAAATCAATTTTAAGACACATGTGCCTTTACAAAACATTAAGACACACGTGACTTTTAAAAACAGATTTAATCAATAAACCCCATGTTTCCACAAATGAGGAGATATTTAGCAAGGTAGTGCTGAATCAGCTGTTAACAGATTTGAAATCCCCAGATTGCTTTAAGTATCTTGCATGTGATTTGCTTTCGTGATTAACTCGAAATGGTGAAAAATAATTGCTGCTGATTAAAACATGGATGTAATCTCAAATTCATCAAAACCATGATTACAATAGATGAAATATTTGTGTTATATAATTTGTTTAGAATGTTTTAAAATCACTCTCAAAATTAAATTACACAATTTAGAGATTAAATATAGGTTTAGAGATTAAAGACACAGTTTAGAGATTGAATGAGAAGGTTTAGAGATTAAGTAACCACTAACAGACAGTAAGCTCAGATAAGTATTGTTATTTTGACATAATTGGACTATGTTAAGCTACGTGTAGACACTTTATAGAACTATATATAGTTGACAGTAGGAATTGGCCTTTCTGAACTGTTTCGTGGGTTTGTCTGGCATCATCTGAAGACGTGTATGCCTAATTAGTCACATTACAGGGGTTTTAGCGCCTTACTTGATAATGTCAGTGATACAATTGTCGAGCATTTCTCTGAGACTTTACACCTAGACTGGGCATCATGGACAGACAATACTTTGAATTAATTTGATTCTATGAACCTTGATCTCAATCCTCTCTACAGAATTAGAAAATTGATCAATTCAGGAGCACCCTAGATTAGTATGGTCAGCATAGGAATTTCTTATACAGGACATTGTCTTACTGCTGTAACAGATATTGAGTAGTGTCTTATTGTAAATATAGGTTGTGTCTTATTGTATATATAGATAGTGTCTTATTGTATATATAGATAGTGTCTTATTGTATATATAGATAGTGTCTTATTATATATATAGATAGTGTCTTATTGTATATATAGATAGTGTCTTATTGTATATATAGATAGTGTCTTATTGTATATATAGATAGCATCTTATTGTATATATATAGATAGTGTCTTATTGTATATATAGATAGCATCTTATTGTATATATAGATAGCATCTTATTGTATATATAGATAGTGTCTTATTGTATATATAGATAGTGTCTTATTGTATATATAGATAGTGTCTTATTGCATATATAGATAGTGTCTTATATATATATATATATATATTGTCTTATTGTATATATAGTGTCTTATTGTATATATAGTGTCTTATTGTATATGTAGATAGTGTCTTATTGTATATGTAGATAGTGTCTTATTGTAAATATTGATAGTGTTGTATTTTAGTCCAGTGAAGTGTCTTATTGAGATAAGGGTAAAATGCTATTGTAGATTAGTGAACTATCTTATTGTAGATCAGAAAAGTGTCCTATCTTGATTAGTAAAATGTCTTATTTTAAAATACCAAAATGTCTTATTGTTGATTTAGAAAGTGTCTTATTGTAGAATAGTGAAACCTTTTAATGCAGATTAGGGAAGTTAGATCATGGATGTGTCTTATTGTAGATTAGTGGAATTTCTTAATGCAAATTAGGAAAGCTAGATCAGGGAAATGACTTGTTGTAGATAAAGGAAATATCTTACAGTAGTGAGGGAAGTGTCTTATTGTAGACTAGGGTAGTAACTTATTGTATGATGATGAAAGTGTCTTATTGTAGATTAGAGAAGTGTCTTATTGTAGCTAAGGTATGTATCTTATTATAGATTAGAATACTGTCTGTTGTTTAGGTGAGCTACCTGTTGTACAGAGGATAGTTAAGATACTACCAATTAATTCATCCTGTATTTAATTTATTGTAGTATTTTAATATTTATTTAATAACTTCTGGTCTAATTGTAATACTCTGTAATGTACTTTGTCTATTTTGATGTGGATTAAAGTATTATATATTACTTGGTAGATTCAGTTTTCTGTAGATGGAGATAGAATTTTACCGTTAGCCTGTCAGTGTAAGGTAGTACATTATTACTGTGTAGATGGAGATAGAATTTTACCGTTAGCCTGTCAGTGTAAGGTAGTACATTATTACTGTGTAGATGGAGATAGAATTTTACCGTTAGCCTGTCAGTGTAAGGTAGTACATTATTACTGTGTAGATGGAGATAGAATTTTACCGTTAGCCTGTCAGTGTAAGGTAGTACATTATTACTGTGTAGATGGAGATAGAATTTTACCGTTAGCCTGTCAGTGTAAGGTAGTACATTATTACTGTGTAGATGGAGATAGAATTTTACCGTTAGCCTGTCAGTGTAAGGTAGTACATTATTACTGTGTAGATGGAGATAGAATTTTACCGTTAGCCTGTCAGTGTAAGGTAGTACATTATTACTGTGTAGATGGAGACAGAATTTTACCGTTAGCCTGACAGTGTAAGGTAGCACATTACCACCCTGGTGTATATTATTAGGCTCAGGCTAATATAGAAGTGACAGAACAGGTGCAAAATATATCAATAACTTCAATGACAAAGATGTTGTTGCACATTTCATGCTTGTTACACTGAAGTAATTAGTAATGAACACTTTGTTCTGACTAATATGAATATTAATGAGGTTGCCGTAGTTACGAGTATTGATAACATATTCAAAGCAAATCTCTAGTGAATTCAACTTATTTTTATTCAGTGGAGCCATCACTCATAACACTCTCTCTGTACAAGGGTATTACTGTCTCTGTACAAGGGTATTACTGTCTCTGTACAAGGGTATTACTGTCTCTGTACAAGGGTATTACTGTCTCTGTACAGGGGTATTATTGTAATACTGTCTCTGTACAGGGGTATTACTGTAATACTGTCTCTGTACAGGGGTATTTCTGTAATACTGTCTCTGTACAGGGGTATTTCTGTAATACTGTCTCTGTACAGGGTATTACTGTAATACTGTCTCTATACAGGGTATTACTGTAATACTGTCTCTATACAGGGTATTTCTGTAATACTGTCTCTATACAGGGTATTTCTGTAATACTGTCTCTATACAGGGTATTTCTGTAATACTGTCTCTGTACAGGGGTATTTCTGTAATACTGTCTCTGTACAGAGTACATGTGTTAAATTTTACTAGTAAACAGTGGGTGTATGTGTTTAACTGTAACAGTAAACTATGAGTACATTCCTGTGTTTAACTTTATGAGTAAAAAAGGGGACTATTTATTAGAAATTTCTAAAATAGATTCAGAAACTTGAAATAAGCTTAAAGGCATATTTTTGATCATTTGAAGTGCATTTTCTTTATCATAAATATACAGTGTTTTGAAAAAAAATCTTGTTGGTATATGTATTTTGATGTTCAAGTTTTAAGAGGTGATTGAAATCTAACTTCAATGGCTCCATACTTTCAATACCAGATGGAAATGTTTTAAAATACCCCTGGCCTGTTTAATGAGAAGGAATTCAAACATTTCAGGAGTCGCTGAGGATTTTATTGAATCATTTGTGCTACCATGGATTTCAAGATTACAATCCCACAATCTGTATTGACTACCAAGCTACAGACCTGGAATCTACTGATCTTGATAATGGAGAGCTCCAAGATATCGATTTGATGGGTTATACAGAGAGTGGGGGTGGAGAGAGGAGAAAATGACACAGAGATTGATTACTTTTTACCGAATTCTTATATTTTACCAATTCAGATATCTTGAAATACAGAACTTCAGTTCTAAATTAAAAGGTATTGAAGGTTTCCCGTAAATAATGTTTCATGGTAAAAACGTAATCAGTTGCTTTGTACTCCTATATTTTTTTAATTATTTAGTTCAAGTGCAAGTCATTGACATTGATTGAGGATAATCAATACCGTGTATAAATACAGGGCTTTTATTACATAAACTAGCCATGGTGTCTGTTGGATTGTTCCATGGTTTTGTTTGACTCGTTGAGTCATGCTATCAGACAAATCTGCTGTCAAAAGCTCTCCCTTCTTGATAGCATTGTAGTATATATTAAAATGTTGTGCAATGTTAAGTTGTAGCATACATATACTTAATGCATAGTTTCTTTTGTTTGAAACTTAAACATCCAGCATTAATAATGTAGGGATTTAAAATGTTTCCATATAAAATTCCATTTATCACATATGGTAATGAGTATTCAAAGTTTACAAGAAAATGAATTTCTTTGGTAATATACTGAGTTATGAAATAAATTTCTTGTCATTTTAAAAGAAAATTGAACAGTAGAAATAAAAAAAACTTCAAAACTTGAACATTTCTTTGTAATATCATTAGAAATATGTAATAGTAGAAATATTATCTTTACATTCTTAAATTAGACAAATCAATGTTTGAGAATGAAACTTTTTTTTGAGAGTTGTGTCCCTTTATGAGACTGACATATTTCTGAATTTACCTTATTATTTATATTCAAATTGGAAGTAGGTACACTGTAATGGCTACCATTGTCAGTTCATCTGAACTACACTACACTTGGTACAC